GGAGGGCGCCGACCGGGGCGGGGGGCGCCGGTGAGAAAGAGAGAGAAGAGACCACATGGGGGGTTAAGTGTTCGCCGACCTTTACTGAGTGTCTGTCGGTGCGGCTCTCAGTAAATGTACACAACCTAGATCTAGGTTTTCCACCTTTTCCGAGAGAAACGCTCAGCAAAGGATAAAGCACACTCGGAAATGGAAAACATACCGAGTGAGGCACTCGGAAATGACACTCCTCCCTCATCCAATCAAGGCGTAGGCATGACACAAGGACATCACAAGTGATTCCCCATGCCGTTAACCGCCAAGATTTCATGTGTCGCCTTGCTGATCTGCAATTCCCAGCGAGGAAACCCTAGAAGAGCAATAAATTTCCCGAATATTGCGCGCGTCCCCGAAAAATGCGAGGCCGTGGCACGTGCCATGCGGTTGCCCCCTCTTAGAGCACGAGAAGTTTCGAGGCCAACGGAGCAACAGGACTAGCACTTCCTGCACAAACTGGACACGTTCCCTCTCGATACCCAGATACTAGCTCGGAGACGGTGCGGTTTACAAGTGGCCGAAGGGGAGGCTTACTCGAAACGTGTCCAAACTTTTACCACACCCTACAGAGGCCCTGTGATGGCACCGTGCTAGATCCCGAGCAATCCTACCATCGTACGATTTTCCGAGGATTTCAACGGTTGCATCAGGAATGACACCGAGGTACTTTTGGTAACCCGGTGGCAGGGCATGCCCCTGCCTCATCTGTGCAAGGCGTAGGCATGACACAAGGACATCACAAATGATTCCCCATGCCGCTACCCGGCATGATTTCATGTGCCACCTTGTTGATCTGCAATTCCCGGCGATGAAACCCTAGCAGAGCAATAAATTTTCCGAATATTGTGCGCGTCCCCAAAAAATGCGAGGCCGTGGCACGTGCCATGCGGTTGCCCCTCTTAGAGCACGAGAAGTTTCGAGGCCAACGGAGCAACAGGACCAACACTTCCTACACAAACCGGACACGTTCCCTCTAGATACCCAGATACTAGCTCGGAGACGGTGCGGTTTACAAGTGGCCTCAGGGGAGGCTTACTCGAAACGCGTCCAAACTTTTACCACACCCTACAGAGGCCCTGTGATGACACCGTGCCATATCCCGAGCAATCCTACCATCGACATCACAAATAGTCCATCTCCTTAACAAGGGTGTAATGAATACCGAAGCTTACTGCATCTGGACTATCCCACTATTTATATTTAAACAGGTCTTGTTGCTTGTCTATAGGCGAGGTGGGACTAAACTTTGATGGTGGCCTTATCTTTACCGAGAGCCACTCTCGGTAACTGCTCGTTTACCGAGAGCAACTCTCGGGTAGCCGAGTTTAGCGAAAAAATACATTAGTCATCCATGTTCTCCACTTGAAGAATATACACGATGAATACAGATGATAAATCATACTCATCCTGCATACCCTCGAAATAGAGTGCAAGGTAGACCCACGCTTGTAACAATCTAATAGATGAAGGTATTTAAGCAGGTGCAGAACTTGCTCGGGGGGCGAGGTGGGACTAAACTTTGATGGTGGCCTTATCTTTACCGAGAGCTACTCTCGGCAACTTGTCATTTACCGAGTGCCACTCTCGGGTAACAGCCACTAGAAGAATCATAGTGATTGTATGGACTCTTAGTAATGAGAGAAGACCGAAGCTTACTGTGGTTGGACTATTGAACTATTTAAACAGGTCATTTTGCTAGTCGGCAGGCGAGGTGGGACTAAATCTTTGCCGAGCATCACACTCGGCAAAGAGTTGCAACCGTAACCATGCCGCCAGTCGCCGCCGAATGTGCCACGTGGAAAAACTTTGCCGTGTGTGGCCGGGTGGCCCTCGGCCAATAGTCCCTTTGCCGAGTATAACTTGTTTGCCGAGCAATGCTGTCGGCATTGTCGTGTGTTTGCCGACTTACTCCCTTTGCCGAGTGTGACTCTCGATGTTGTTTACTTCGCCGAGTGCCCGTGTTTTGGCTCTCGGCGTAGACGCCCACACCCGGCGTATACGAAAATTTCAGTAGTGATGGTAGAGTAAATACCAGAAACCTTTTAAGAAGGAAAAACTTTTATCTAGATTGCTATGAGTGTCCAGTGTAATGAGCATGCTGAGGAAGTAATTAGACACCTTTTTTACACTACTGCTTTGCACCAAACTGTTGGAGCAGTATCATACCAAATAAGAGAGCGGGGATTTTCATTTTTGCTGACATAATTCTGGCTCATCAACAACTTCCACCCACGATTGATGTGGACATATTTATACAATGGTACTGGAACATTTGGTTACAAAGAATGGGAAAAATAATCAGACAAGGGGTTCCAAGTGTTATTCATGGAAAAAATCAAGAAACTTCCAATCTATTTATTTTTAATCATGGCAATATAAAGAACAACAGAGATAATAAAAACCACAACTATGTCTGTGGACCACATAGCGACGACTACAGGCACTGGAGAGAGCCGAAGGCACGCCGCCGTCGTCGCCCCTCCCCAACCGGAGCTGGGCAAACCTTATTGCAGTAGACAATCAGGAAGTCGTCGTGCTAAGGCCCCATAGGATCAGCGCACCAGAGTAGCAACCATCAGCGATGAAGAAAGTCGTAGATCAGAAGTGTCAAACCTGTAAACACTCAAACGAATCAGATCCAAACAGATTCACCGAAGACCAGCACAGACCGAACCCTAAGATATCCGACGGTCACAAAGCTCCACACGCCTTCCGATGATGCTTGAGGCACCATCGGGATGGGGATATGACGTGGGAGACATTATTCCTACTAAGGGACATCGCCGCCGTCACATAGCCCTAACCAAGACGCCGAATCTAACAAAAACGAAATCCCAAAGCTGATTTACTGCTGTTGAAGCACATAATTAAAGTTAAAAATTTGAACAGCTTGAAGCAATGGATTGCCATCCATCTGTGATGAGTGTAAGACAAAGATCACATTTTTATCTGTGAAAATCATGATGCTACGAACGGGTATTGGTTGAGAAAGCTCTTGCAGGACTAGTACTGTTTTTTTTTTCTGTCTGTCTTGTAACGGAACTGCTCCACACACGATGAGCTTTGGACGATCTGTGCACGATTAAAAAAATCCACCGTCTGTTGCTCCGACGTGAAGAACATTGCACCGCTGGATTCAATCGTCGGCTGCAAATCGTCAAAATAATGTCGTCTGGATAGCACTGCTCCTCTTGTAAATATTACACTCTTGTGGATACTTGATTAATGAAAATTACTGTATAACTATTGTTCTACGGTTTGCAATTCAAAAAGAGAGAGTAAAGTTTCAGACTGTCATCATTAGTTAAGGCGATAAGATCCTTACATAGTGAAGTTGGCCACATTATTTAAGCTGATCGAACCCATCCTTTGGGGTCACAACTTAGCATATTCCATAACCATCCTAGCGTGCATTGCTTTTTAAGTGTAGTTATCCTCAAATACTCGGCCCCCGCGTCGCTCCGCACGGGCGACACGGGCGGCGATTCTAGCAGCCGCCAGCAGCCGCTCCTTTGCCGTCCTCCCCCTCGCCGCCGCCGGGGTGCGCCGCCGGTCAAAGGCCGTGTGGCAGTGGCGGCGGCAGGGCTTCGTCTTCTTCAGGGCGTGGGCGCACCCATGGCTGGTTCGTGCGGGAGCGCGGGGTTCATCCTGCGGGCGGCGCCGGTGGTCGGGAGATCCTCTCCTCCGGCAGGGCGGCGGATCCGGGGCCCTCGCGCCCGGATCTGGTGCAGTGGTGGGCGCGCGGCTGGGGAGGCCCCGTGCAGGTGGCTAGTGCACGGCGGAGGTGCAGATTGGCTCGGGCCGTCGCGTGGTGTGCGCGGTGAGCGTGGTGAATGTGCTCGCGTCGGATCTGGCGCTCGGCGGTGGCCTACGGCGGCAATGGGGCGGCTCGGGCGCGCGACTGTGGCAAGGAGGTGGCGCGGCATGGTTCTGGCGGGGTCGCTCGTCTTCTCCGGTGAGATGGCAGCAGGGGGCAGCAGGGGGCAGGGGCCGAGCTTATCCGCACCCCAGCTCTGCGGTGCTGGGCGGAGCGGATCTGCTACGAAGTGTGAAGGTGGTCAGATCCGGACGGATTGGACCTCGGTGGCCCGATGGAGGGCTTGCTGATGCTTGATGTGCAGGGCTCGAGAGGTTGACCCGGGCGAAAGCTTGTCTCCGGCGTGTCCGGAGCCGGCGATGGCGACGCTTTCAAGCGTCGTTTCCTTCTTGTTGGCATCGTCGAGGTACTCTCAGCTCCAATTTTCGCAGCTTAGGGGGAAACCCTAGATCCATGGGATCGGACGATGACGGTGCTCTAGCATCGTATCCCCTCTCGGGGGCTTCGTCTTCGGAGCTAGGCATCATCAAGTGGGACCAATGGAAGTTGGTGGAGTTGGCGTCGAGGCTTCTGTGGCAACGGGTGAATGTGATGACGGAGACGCGACAATGGTTGCGATAGTCGGCTCTTCTTCGGCGTGTTCGTGGGATTACCTCAGGTTGTCTTGTTGTGATGAAGTCGGAGCTGCGGCGGCGGGGCCCTGTGGCGACGATGACAGGCAGCAGGTGGTCTGTTCGGTGGTCTTTCGCGACGCCAACCTTGCATAGTTCTCCTTTGGAGCTATCATTCAGAGTCGGAGTTGTGCTGTCCTTGGCGCGGGTGGCTGAGTTTGGCCGGGGCTTCCTGTGTTTCACACAGCCTCTACGGTGTGGGTTGGGTCGACTTTTGTCTTCGGAGAAGTCGGAGTCGCTTGCTCGGAGATTAGGGAGGGCGATGACGCCTGTTGGGGAGAAGTGATGACGATGACACTGGTGTGTGATGTTGACGAGACCCTCTATGTGAGGTGTGCGTGGTATTATGTGTGTGCCACTCAGCGGTTTGTGACGGTTTTCGCCCGGTTTTCCGTTCATTAACCGAGCAACTCTCCTCTGCTTTATTAATGAGATGAGGCAAAGCTTTTGCCTCCGTTTCAAAAAAAAAAACATCCTAGCTTTCGGAGAATCAAGAGAGACAGAACTCATGGAGCGCGCGTCGGTGGCCGTTTTGAGCAACGTTGTGCAGCTGGTTGGGCAGGAGTTCCGCCAGCTCCGCGCCGTCCGCGGCGAGGTCACTGAGCTGAGGGACGAGCTGGCCACGATGAACACCCTCCTGCGCATGCAGTCCGAAGCTGATGCAAGTGGCTTGAGCCACTTCGTCCGGGAGTGGATGAAGCAACTCCGGGAGCTCGCCTACGACGCCGAGGACTGCATCGACCTCTACCTGTTTCGCATCAGGTGCCAGCAGGGCGACGGCTTCCTCGTCTGGTCCAAACGCCTGCTTGCTACGCTTTTCCCTCGCCATCGCCTCGCCGGCGAGATCACGGCCCTCCGCATCCGTGCTGTTTCCATCAGCGAGCGCCATGCTCGTTACGGCGTCAGCATCGAGCTGCTGGGCCGCACTGCTTCTTCTTCGGAGGCTTTGCAGGCAGTGGTGGCGTCAGCACGTGCGCCACGCCCTCACAACGACCCCAACCAGTTCGTCGGCATCAAGGCCCAGGCTGAGAACCTGGGCAAGAAGGTGGTGAAGGCGGCTGTCTGTGAGAGTGACAAAGAGCTCAAGGTGTTCTCTATCGTGGGCTTTGGAGGCCTCGGGAAAACCACGCTGGCCATGGAGGTCTGCCGGCAGCTGGAGACGGAGTTCAAACGCCAGGCCAATGTGTCCGTGTCGCAGACCTTCGGCAGCAAGGATCTCCAGGGCTAAAGCGCGTGCTTCTGCAGGTCGTGACCCTACCGTCTAATCAAAACGAGCAAGCGGCGCTCCTTCGTAAGATTGACGGCATGGATGTAGGCGAGCTAGAAGGCATGCTCAAGGAGAGTCTCCAGAACAACAGGTATACCGTCGATAAGATGATTATTTCCATCGATAAGATGGGCAGGCCTAGCTTTTCCTTCTTAGTAGTGTTAATATATATATATATATATATATATATATATATATATATATATATATATATATATATATATATATATAAGTAAAATTTGTTGGTGGCTTGGTGCCATTATTCAACTTGCATGGTATGCGATCAGTTTAGAAATAATTAAGAAAATGCATGTTCATATAGTCACATAATAAGCTGAATAGCAGCCAAATTTTACGTCACCTAAATTTTATCTTCCTGAAATCAAGAAGAACTTCAGAAAATGTAGATCACATATTTTTTGTATGTGACGAGAAGATGTGAACGTATAGAATGATGTAAGGTAAGAAAATCCTGGATGCAAAATAACTTATTCTCCACCCTGCAGTAATATATATTAGTGGAAAATGTCGAAAAAGGAGTTTAAAACACCATCCAGTAGAATTTCATACAATTTGATGCAATCAATTGCCAGTTTCTGCAGACAGAATATTCTAACTCTTGCATATCTATGAGTGTAGGTACCTAATTTTTATCGATGATGTATGGAGCAAAGCAGCCTGGGAGGCAATCTGGTCCAAGTTACCAAGCAGCAACTGCGGCAGCAGAATCATCGTGACCACTCGGATAGATACTGTGGCCAAAGCATGTTCTAATTATTGTGATTATTACATCCATCATATGAAGCCCCTAGATGAGAAAGAGTCAGATCAGTTGTTCCGAAGAAAAGCATTTGGCTCAATGACCGAAGATTCTTGCCCAGAGTATTTGAAAGGTGCAATGGAAAACATCTTGAAAAAATGTGGTGGGCTACCCTTAGCCATTGCTAACATTGCAAGCCTTTTGGCAAGCTATACACATCCAGAAGGGAAGAAGATGTGGGAAATAGTTGGCAGGTCAATTGGTTCACAGATGGATAACAATCCTACTCTTGAGGGGATGAGGCAGATACTCACACTTAGCTATGACCACCTACCCCACCACCTCAAGGCTTGCATTATGTATCTTAGCATTTTCCCAGAGGATTACGTGATCTGCAAGGATCGACTATTGAAGAGATGGATCGCTGAAGGGTTAATTCCTGAGAAGCGAGGGATGACCCAGATGGAGCTTGCTGAAGCCTACTTCAATGAGCTGATGAGTAGAAGCATGATTGACCGAGGCACCTATATAGTTACCGTGTACCAATGGAGGGAAGAGACATGCCGAATGCATGACATGATGCTTGAGGTCATGGTGTCCAAATCCCTAGAGTCTAACTTTGTTAGCCTACTAGGTAGGCAATATGAAGGGATGGCATATGATAGGATTCGACGTCTTGCCATACATGGCGGAGTAGAGGCAACCCAAGAGTCTTCATCAAAGAAAATGACAGCACGCCGTGGTATCAAGGCGATGACTATGAAGCATGTCCGATCACTAAGCATATTTGATACTGAAGCACAAAATCTGCTTGCCCGGTTAGGAGAGTTCATGTTGCTAAGGGTACTTGACCTAGAAGACTGCAAAGGTCTGCAGAAAGAGCATATGAGTCATATCTGTCGGATGTATCTTTTAAGGTTCTTAAGCTTGAAGTGTTCAGATATCAAGGTGATGCCTTCAAGAATTGGTGATCTCGAGCATTTACAGACACTTGATGTACGTCAAACACAACTGACGAGTCTACCAGAAACAGTCACAAAGCTAGAGAAGCTGGAGCACCTGTTGTTCACCACCAAAGATGGCAATTTAATGTCTGGTTGGATACTGCCCCAAGGGATCAACAAAATGAAGGCACTACGCCAGCTGAATAAAGCGGTTGTGGTATCTGAGGAGAAGGTCGCCGAGGAGATTGGTGACCTGGATCAATTGGAAGACTTATGCATCTATGTAGACACAAGAAATAAGGATATGGATCAGAATGTTCTCGAAGAGCTTGCCAAATCCCTGAGCAAGATGAACTCCCTCCAGTTGCTCGACATTGGAAATCTTGGTTGTGATAAATGGCCTTTCAAACGGGCATTGCATTTTCTCCATCAAGTAAAGTCGCCACCACAGCTGCTCCGTTACTTTAGGATTTGCGGCCTCATTGACCAATTGCCAAAATGGGTGGGGGGACTCATGAATCTTACCGAGTTGGTCATAGCTTGGACATACGTTGATGGTGTCCAACTATTCAGCGACATATGTAAGTTGCCCAACCTGCAGAGGCTGACCCTGGGGCCATACTTCATAAGACACGGGCAAGACATGGTTGCACGCAGTAGCCAGTCCTTTCCGAAGCTCAAGGAACTAACTCTGGGCTATTCTCCTGAAGTTCCTGAAGTTTATGGATTTGAGAAAGGATGCATGCCAGAGCTGGAGACGCTTGTGCTGCAGTTTGATGACCAGTGGAAGACAACTGCTGGTATTGAGCACTTGAAAAACCTTAAAGAGGTGCAGATCAGTTGTGTCAAAGAAGGTGCATTGGCTGCTGTAGTAGAGGTGCTGGAGGTGGAGAATAAGAATCGACTCAAATCTGACCGCGAAGAGATCAGAGTTATAGTGAGGTCGTAGGAGCAATAAAGCTGCTTGAAGCCTTGGAGTATGTTCAACAGAAGAAGCTTGCTCTAAAGCAGGGAAAGCTGGAGTCCCATCAGTTTAACTTGGTCCCTTCATGGTTGATGTGGTTGGTTCTTGTCATGTAAGGCTGGAAGTCCCCAGCTGTTTAATTCATGTTTTATTTTATCTTTCAAGCATTGTATTCCAATAAAGCTGAACACTTGTACCAACTGTTTTGTGATTACGCTGCCTTAAATATCTATGTAATTTCCAAATTCAGGTCTTCTCCAGCCGAAGTTTCCAACATTTAATTCATGAGGGAGGTTGCTTTAGTTGGTTATATACTGTTATTGCTCCAACAATATAATACAAGTCGCAGTCCACAGTTGAAGCAGAGGTGCTTGATGGCCTTTGCACATCGAAGCATCTCGAAATGCTAGAAATTAGCAAGCGCAGCGGTTACCCATTTTGGATGGTGGGTAAGCAGAACGGTGACACAAGTATCTGCGTGAATTATGGCTTGAAAACTGCAGGCGACATGAACCCGCTCCTCCACTTTTTGAACCCTTGGGCAGTAACAAAACGAACTAAGGTTAAGCACTGGGAAGATCTCAACTTGCCAAAACATGACACCGTTCAGATTCAGGCCAAGATGCTCATGTTCATAGTTCACTGCCGTTCATTCACTCGGATCAGTTCCCTCCGTGCGCACACAGAATTATGCATAAGCATATACAGATATGCTAGAGCAGATTCAATTGGTACTCCGTCACTTTGAATTCTCTCATATGACTTTTACAATCAGAAGTTGCCTGATAAAAATCATGCTGCTGTTGATGGTCGCTCAACAAGGTAGCAGCTATGGTTTATCCCAGCGACTCATATGTCTAGGTATCAGGACCAAATACGTTTTCCTTAATACACGTATATGTGATTTTTTTTTTGCCCTGTCCAATGATTGTTCGGACTTTCTTTTTCACGATGTCATTCTTCTCCCTAATACTAGCTCCCTGCCTCCTCCTATCATGATTGAAAGCTGCTACTAAGTACTTTCACCTAAACAAGGGCAACCAAGGTCATTAGAACTTGATGGACACAAGGTCATTAGAACTTGATGGACACAAAAAGATTCATAATCCAGAAATCAAAATGCATAAAATCCATCTTGCTTAAATTTGACCGTATATGATACGGTAATAAATCAACCGATAAATTAAGGAAAAAGTTTACCTTCAACCGGCTGATGCGCGCGCGAGCCGCCACTTAGGTAGTCGTTAGATCAATCCTGATCAAGCAGCCACGCTGGCCACAAGGCAGTCCCGCGTGAAGAGTCGTTTTCTTGCAATAAGGGTCTTGTTTTCAGTTGATTTCTAATACACATGACTAGTTTCAGAACGAAAGAAAAAACGATTCGATGGTGAAGGTTTTTTTTCTGCAACTGGGGTCTTGTTTCAAAAGATTTCCGCAACATATCTTTTATTTCAGAAAGAAGAGAAATGTTTCTGTTGTGAAGGTTTTTTTCTGCAACAAGGATCTTGTTTCAAAAAATAGCCCGAGTTGCAGCGCCGCAGGAGCGCCCGACGTTAGAGAGTGAGTGGTCAGACATTGCAACATGAGGCATGTTTCAGAAACATAGCTTCAGTTGCAGAAAACGCCGAAGAAGCGTCAGGCGTGAGAGGTGGCCACCGTCATGCTCGATTGGAGCTAGGAGCTGCTCGCGGGGCTGAGACGGAGGAGGAGCAGCAACTCCGGCGAGCACGGCAAGGACTAGTTCCCCGACGCGCCGGCCGTAGCGATTTGGTGGTGGTGGCGACTGCCGCCGCGCTGGGCAAAGCTGTGGCAGGACGACGGTGAGTGGACTCTATTTCCGAAACTGAGCGGCTGTTGCAGGAAGTAGGGAGGTGGTCACGCGCGTGCGATGTTTAGATCAGACGGCTGTCAGGGCGCTCATCCAACGATACTCCATACGGCGGAAGTAAACATTCGCCGGAAGACGTGTAGCGGCGCCCATAAATTAAAGCCATCCTCTATTACTTCTCGGTTGTGGGAAATCATAAATTCAGAAAGAAGAGTGATCAACTGGGGATAAAATCAGAAGCACTCACGTCTCACGGTGCTGCTTCTGTCGCAGTGGAGCGTGCACAGGAGGCCACCGTAGTGCGTGCCGGATCGGTGCTACCCTGGCCCGGGGCTGTGCCAGTCTTCGGTCGGGAGGCGGGCGGCGGTGCGCCGTTCTGGTGCGAGGACGGCTGAAGACGGGGCGTTGCGTTTGCAGCCAGGGTTCCTGAACTTTTTTTTATTAGGGGAACCAGGGTAAGGGTTCCTAAACGAGAGTGGATCATGTTTCTGGCCTAGTGGCAAGCTTCCAGGTCTCGGATGGCCTGCTGGCAGCCCGAAGCAACACCTTGGTCCAGTTTTGAGAAGGCGTTAGACCCTGAACCGGGAGCAACTAGTTAACGAGCGCTTCTTCGGGAGCCTCGCAACGATCAGCGTCATTTGGCGCGCTCTCAGCCATTCGCCACGTGTCACGCTCTGAACACTCTCTTTGGATTTTGTTTTTTTTATTTTTTCGCACGCGTTTTCGGCTTTTTAAATGGTTTTTTTTCTGGATTTTTTTCGACATTTTGGTTTTTCCCCGGTCTTTTTTAGCTTTTCGATAAAAAAATTTAAAAAAAAATTGGCGAAAAAACACGTTTTCTTTTTTTTTCCTTTCGCAAAAGTCACGATTTTTCTTTCGCGAGAGGCACGATTGTGCTTTATCGAGAGTCACGGCCGTGCCTTTCGGAAACAAAAAAAATGCGTTCTCTATTTTTTTTTTCTTTCGTGAGAGTCACGGTTTTGATTTCGCAAGAGGCACAGTTGTGCTTTCGCGAGAGTCACGGCCGTGCCTCTCGGAAAGGGAAAAACAAAACACGTTTTCTGTTTTTTTTTCTTTGTGAGAGCCATGGTTTTGCTTCCGCGAGAGGCACGGTTGTGCTAACGCGAAAGTCACGGCCGTGCCTCTCGGAAAGGGAAAAAATACGCATTTTCTATTATTTTTTTCTTTCGCGAGAGTCACGGTTTGCTTTCGTGAGAGGCACGGTTGTGCTTTCGCGAAAGTCACGGCCGTGCCTCTCGGAAATGAAAAAAAAACGCTTTCTGTTTTTTCCTTCCACGGGAGTCACGGTTTTGCTTCCACGAGAAGCAGGTTGTGATTTCGCGAGAGGCACGGGCGTGCCTCTTTCGGAAAGGGAAAAAACCGTGCTCCCGGTTCGGTTTTTCACCCGGTTTTTTTCGTCCGATTTTTCATGAAAAAATAAGTTCGTCAAAACCTATCAACATGGAATCTAATTTTGAAAATCTCGACGCGAGGAATCCAATGGTGAAAACAGTTCGAGATTTGGACGCACGGTTTAAGAGATAAAACGTTTTGAATAAACGAATCTACGAAAAAAAGGAAAACTCCCAGGTTACGACAAGTGGCGTGCTGCATGTGCGCCAGTTGTCGCGACCTAGGAAAGTGGAGTGTTCTTTGCAACGAATACTCCCTAATTAGTGATTTCGCACTGAACCGGCCATGCTCCCAACTGTTGCACACCACCTACTTGGGCCTCGCGGCACAAGTTTGCGGCATTTCTTATTTGGCGCCACTGGCGCCAGTTAACGTGCATTTTGTTAACTGGCGCCCGTGGCGTCCGTAAATGGGCCGGCCCATCTAGGGGCCGGTTGACGATTTGTTTTTTGAAAATTCTGTGAACTTTTTTGAGATTGATGAACTTTTTAGATATTTAATGAATATTTGTCTTGAAAATGGATGAACTTTTTTTGATTTATGAACTTTTTTCAGTTCCATGAAATTTTTCTAAAAATATATGAACTTTTTTTCAATTTCTATGAACTTTTTTCAAATTTGATTAACTTTTGCTAAATTGCATGAACTTTTTTCAATTTGAATGAACTTTTTTTCAAACTGATGAACTTTCCAAAATTTATGGACCTTTTTTAAAGATGTGAACATATTTTTTCAAATGGATGCACTTTTTTCTTTAAATCTGTAAACACTTCTTCATTTCATATTTTTAATTTCATGAAAAAATAAAAAAACTTGAGGCAGCACGCTAGTGGGCCGGCCCATGCTACCAGCGCTACAGGCACCGGATCGGGCGCCTGCAACGCTGTATAGGAGCTCCCCAAGTTTGCACGTTGGCACGAACCATTATGTATTCTATAAAAAAACACTACGTACTAGTAAATCGGACAATTGATCCCGTGAAAGAGACCAAATTATTTCTCAGCTAGCTGAGAAAGAGCAAGACCGTTAAAGATTCCAAGAAATTAAACCAAAATCCATACGTAAATACGTAATGCATATGATAGGCTTTTAAGGAGGTTTCCTCGTACTTAAAAAAAGGGAATTTCCTCGTGGACACGTGGGTGTGCGGCTTTGAGCCGGTCCGTTCACGTCACTCCTTCTAGGACGGTCCCTTCTTAGGCCTTGTACAATGCTAGGTGCTTAGAAAAATTAATCGGGTTTTCTGAAGCACCGGTGCCTATTTCTACACGAGGGACGCCTAATTTATGCAAAGTCTTTTTTACTGGTGCCGGAGATGTACAGGTGGTTCTCTCACCAATAGCATGCTGCCAGCTCAAAAGGTGTACATTTGTATTCCCCCCTTCTATCTATTTAAGTCACCGTATTTCATCAGACCGGGTCCATCATGCACATGCAAAGGACGCATGCATGGTCCTGCTTTTCTCTTTTTACTGCTCATGGTACATACTATAACATGCATGTCTCTGACATTATCTCTCCTCTCTCCATCTCTAAATCCATCACTTTTAATTCCCTTTTCACCATTTTAGATTGTTCATATCTTCAAAACAAAAATTTTGTTTTTGAAACTTTGTATATATTTGAACTCCTGGAGCTTTAGAATAAGACCAATCTTGAATACATTCAAACATATTTAAATTTCAACATTTGAAATGAGTGAAATCAGCTTTCTAAAAATAGTGAAATGTGATCTTTGAATTGG